CATGATGTATTACTGTGCAGTGTTCTGTGAACATGCTGCACTATGTAGTAATGTCTTCATGTGTAATAGAGGGAGGAGGTTTTCGTACGGCTCTGTATCACTGTGTGAAGGTGTACTGATTATATTGCTGACAGTAATAACTTCCTTCATCATCTTCAGTCATGGCAGTAATTGTTAGAGTGTAGCGAGATCCATCAATGCTGCCAGTGAACCGGTCTGGGACTCCTGTGTGTCGGGTGGTTGCACCAGCTATAAGAAGTGTTGGAGACTTTCCTGATTTCTGTTGGTACCGGGCTATAGCATACCCAGTGTAAGAACTGGATGTACATGTGATGGTGACTGTCTGTCCTGGGGACACGGAGATAGAATCCGGAGTCTGAGTAATCACAATCTGTCCACAGGATCCTGAGGATGGGAAGAGACATATTGATTATTGATAAATGTCTGTATATCTTCCTATCAATCCTGATGTGTGTATTTATTGTACAATGTATAGATGTATGTGCAGAGGATGATGGAAGGAGCCTCATCTCTCACCCTGAATAGAAATGAGTGTATGGAACAACTCGGTGATTGGTGAGCCAATATATATATTCTGCTGAAGACAAGCTATTGTATATCGAGCTTCCTTGAGTATCTGCTGTTGAAATACCAATAAAGCTTTTCGTTAATGGAAATACGCTGTGCGAGTGCTCTGTGAGCACCCCAACATCACACCTGATAAAATGTGAAACTTTTTATCAAACCCAAAATTTCTGTAAAAAATACATATGTTAATATTGAAGCACATAAACACAATATATTACCCAATTTTTCATAAAATATGAAATCTGGAGTTGTGCTAAGTAAATAGATACCCAACATTCCATCCTTAACTGTTTGAAGACCAAGTGTTAAACCCCCTTCCCATCCAGGCCATTTTTCAGTATTCAGCACTGCGATACTTTGACTGACATGTATTTCGTCATGCAACGCTGTGCTGAAATGAATTATATACCATTTTTTGGGGATACATAGAGCTTTCTTTTGGTGGTATTTAATCACAATTATTTTTTACTATAATTTTTTTTTTACATTATGTTAGGAAACATTTATTATTACCCATTTTTTGGTAAAATATAAAAGATCGGGTCACGTCGGGTAAATAGACACCAAACATGTCAAGCTTTAAAATTGCGCGCACCCGCGAAATCGCAGAAAACTACCATACCCAAAAATGGCCATAGGCGACACTTTAAAAGCTTTTACCGCTCATCAGTTTAGGCCCCATTCACACTGTGAGATTCGCAAATCGCGTGTTTTTTCGCACGATTTGCAGTTTGCGCGATATCGCGCAATTTGTCGCGCGATATTGCGCAAATGCTTGCATTCAGCAAGCTTGAATCACGGCTAAATCCGCTCCAAAAAGGGTCCTGCTGTAGCGACGCACGACCCGCGACAGCAGGACCCTTTGCCCCATTGAGAAGCATTGGAGAGCGATATCGCGCGGTAAATTGCCGCGATATCGCGGGAATTACCGCGCGATAAATCGCTAAGTGTGAACGGGGCCTGAGTGTTATCAATGATTGATGGCCCTAAAATTATTGCTCTCACTCCGACGTTCGTGGCGATATGTAATATGTGCGGCGTAATGGGCGCAATCGTCTTTTTTGCACGCATTCACCCCCGATGCATGTTTGCATGCGTGTATGTATGGGTGGGGACTTTAAAAAAATTTTTTGTTTTTGTATTCTTTCTTATGTGTAACTTTAAATTATTTTCTTGGGGGGAACTTTATTTTGTTTCCCTTTTTTTTTTCCACTAAACTTTATTGCTATCACATACGGGGGCTAATAAAACCCCCCTATGTGATAGCAAAATATGTGACAGGTCCTCTTTATGGAGACATCAGGGGTCACAGATCTGCTCCATCAGCTTCTTTCCAGCTTCTGAAGCTGGAGAGTGACACAAGAATGCGGAAGTGATGTAATATACAACACTTCCGCATTCTTTCTGAGGTGAGGGGACCGGAGGGAGCTCGTGTACATTCTCCCTCTGATCCCCTGTGACACAGGCGCCATGCTGATCCCGGGCTCGCACCGGGCACAGCGGAGCCCGGGATCAGTGGAACAACAGCATAGGGGGGACCGCGGAGGGGGGGCACCCATCGTTACCCCATACAAGCGATCGCTTGTATGGTAACAGGCATCACTGCCTGTTTTTAAATATCGGCCATTACCCGATAGGGGGCGTGTCTGAGCGGACATCTAAAGGCGCCCGCTCAGATCTAGAGAGCTCCCAGCCCGCCATTTTTTTACCACGGCCGGCCTAGAGGTAGTTAAAGCATGCTTGTGCCCATAACATTTATAAAGTCTTGATTCAGAGCTCGCTACCACTGCGTTTTGATGCTTTTTTAAAAGCCCCATGTACAGAGTAAAGTCTCAAGGAGTATGTAATGTGCAGCACAGCATACAGAGTGCAGAACTCAGGAATTTGTAACATATACACCATCATCAGGAGTACAGTCCAGCAGCC